TATCCCTGAACAGCTATGCACAATGGTACAAAGGTGAAATTGAGATTGTACGATAGTACGATGATTAAAACACGATGGCACGATGGTGAAATCACGATGATGCGATGACACGATAGGGAAAATAATATCGCGTTTTCATCATCATGCCATCGCAGTTTTATCATATCGTACCATCGTATTTTTCTATCGTAACATCGTCTTTCACCATACTACCATCACGTTTTCATGATCGAACCTTCGCTGTTTACCATCGTACAATCGTTGTTTCACATTCGTACCATTGTCTTTTCAGCATCGCGTTATCATCAAAAACGTACCATCATGCCATCGCGCTGTCACCATTGAACCATCGTGAACGGGATTTAGTATGTTTCGGTGTACGCCTTCAGGTTAAGCCAATCAATTTCTTAAATTAGAGATATTATAATTAATAGTTCACTTTAGGTTTTCATAAAGAAAGCATAAGTTATCCTATTCATGATTACACTTGACATGAGGTAAAACGGCGAACTTCGATTCTAAAAAAAGAATTTCTTCCGCAGGGAAATAATTATGTGACAAATAATTCATAATGATGACATGATACAAATGTGCTTTCTTGTCCCTTAAAAACACATAAGACAAATGTGCTTTCTTGTCCCTTAAAAACACATAAGACAAATGTGCTTGCGTGTCCCTTAAAAAACTTGATCGGAGCACATTCGTCACACAAATTAGTTTTTTTGGGGTAGACATTTGAGGTCCCATTTGTCTCATGTGGGACAAATGCGACCGCATCGGTCTTACGTAAGACAAATGTGCTCCGAGACAAATGTGCTCCTACACTGCTCTCATATATATGATAGGACGACAACGGGTCGCTTGCGCCAACGCGACGCTTAAAAGCGTACCAAATCAGCCACAATATGTTGTCGCTATCGACAACGCAACGCGCAAAGTGTACTGATTCAGCCACCATACCATACAGTGTTGGTGTGATGTTTGCATGTCCTAACTAAGAGTTTTAAATTCTTATTAGGAGAAAAATAATTCTTATTTGTTCTAATTGAAAGTTACAAAGTTCAAATTAGGTCTTTAATATATATTTAGGCTTTTGAAGCTAATTAAGGCTTTTTTCTTAACTCATTATAATATTTTAATTCTCCTAATTATGAGTAAAAATTCCTAATAAGTTGTAACTGTGAGTAAGAAAGTTCTTACAAGGTTTCTTTCTTTTTATTTCTCCTATTTTGAGTGTGAAAGGCTTTTATACCTACTAATTAAAAGTGAAAAAATCATTATAAACTTTTAAAACTCCTAAACAGAACTAAAAAATGTCCAAGTTAGGCTTTTAAAAACTCATTATTAGGAGTTGAAAGTGTTATAAAGACAGTTAGATGTTACACACGACGGATCGGTACTAAACAAAAATGGAAACGTAGAAGTTTTCGACCATGCGACCACATACATGCATCGAGGACATGTTGTAAGGAAAGTGACCGTGCGACCACATACACGCATCACAAGATTCCCCTTCTCCTACGAGAAAGGGACAAATATCTTTCCACCCATTATTCAAAGGGTAGAATATAAAAATATGCCATTTCCTTATTGTTATTGATAAGGTGGCTAATTTGCGAAGGTATGTCTTGAATTAGTTAATATACAACAAAAGTAATGCAAACCAAGCGGGGTTTCAGTTTTCGTCCTTATAAGTTCGCTGAGAAATTTTGAAAAGATCATATTTAATTTCTTGGAAAATTTTGAGTTTAACGTTTTTTCTGCCCTTCAGTTTATGTATATTAAAGAAAAACCTTACTTTTGCAAAACACAAACGTTTTAAAAACGTTTCATATGCATTAAATATGCGAGATATATTTCACACTTTGTTTGCAAATATTAACCCGGGGGCATTTTTGCCAAAGTACGCATTTAGTTTCAATATTCGTCTTATCAAGCTTGTATTAGAAAATGTAATGTGGTGGACTGGCAAGAAAAAAATAGTTTAAACTTGAGCAGCCGACAATTCTAACACTGATGGGACTGCACATATTTGCAAGCCTAATCTTAACCTGCTGAATTTGTAAAATGCACTTTTCAAGCTTCCATTGTTTAGAACTTTCTATCAATCAGGGAATATCAAGGTAAAATTTCTTAGTCAGCCATAAGTACAGAGCCGATTCAGTCTGCACGGATGCGCAGCGTGGCTTAGGAGTTTTAACAAATTCTAATACACAGTCCACGTCTTTATGACTGTATCATATGACTTTAAACTTTCATTTGCTATATATTTTCTCAAGATAGATATCAATGCGATATGTACATCGAAGAAACACTTTTTTTCATGACACACAATAAACGTAAAAGGTAAGGAAAAATGGTGCGACATTAAAACGTCATCATTGCGACAGTTAACGTCAAAATATGTTCATTTAGCGGCGGTTGCGACATCAAGCGGCAATAGCGCGACATTTAGCGGAAAGTGCGACATTTATCGCCAAGCGCGACATATAACGGCTCTACAATATGATATGCAAGAAAAAGAATCAAACTTTAAATGCAGTCACAGACGACAGTATCTAGCACTCGTGTTCTACTGTAAAGCGGAAACTCGGCAAAACCTCGTTACCGTTCTTACGTTACGTTCTTCGACAAAGGAATCCTTCAACACAATGAATTTGTTATATAAAAATTTCTTTCAGGATATATGGCCGCCTGTGATTGTTTATTTATTATTTGGTGTATTTTAACGTACCTGTATAAGCAACACGGTTCAAGATCCGTTGGTGCCACGCTCCAAAACTTCAGCTCTGTCCTGAACGCACTGGGGCACACGTTCGGTGGCATATGTAACTCGTTCGTCTGATAATAGTTCAAAATGGCGGCAAAACAGTCCGACGGACGGTCAACAACCAGCTCGATAGGATTTTTATTCCCGCCTGTATCGTAACACATTTTTGTCAGTGTGTGATATTTCCACGAATTCAAAATTTCACGATCAAATTCATATTTCACTCCAGACACGTTTACTTTCACACGTGGCATTTTTATATCTCACAAATGTTAACCTTTTTTAAAACGAAAACTTAAACTTTTAAGCGAAAATTTGAATCATAAATTAAAGTTATACCAACAATCAGTTTGCTGGGAAACTTTCTTGCAAACGACAATACGTCTCTTTGTCTACGGTGAAAGTGATACTTTCTTTACGTTATTAATTATTTATTTACAAAGCAATTTCAAAGTATGGCTATAAGGGTATTAAAATTCAGAAATAAGTTACTTGTAATGGAATAAACATTTACATGTATCATGTTCCCTCAATAAAGAATATTTGCGTTCAAAAAGTCCTAGTTCACATATCAATGTTGTCGTATCGCCACTCCTATTGCAAGATGGCGACTTATCAACTAAATATAAACTGGTAAGCGTTGTCATCATACTTTATTTAAGGCACGGGTAAGGCACGGAAAACGATATTTTGAGCCGTTAAAGTAGAGTTTGTACGACTTGGCAACAATTCATTTGTCAATTTTCTTTTTGAATCAAATCCATGAAAGTTAAAGGCATTTTATTATTATTTTTCATTTTATCTTATTATTATTATTATTATTCATTTGTCAATTTTCTTTTTGAATCAAATCCATGAAAGTTAAAGGCATTTTATTATTATTTTTCATTTTATCTTATTATTATTATTATCATTATTATTATTATTATTATTATTATTATTTTATTTTGCGACGAGATCTCCTTCAACGACCTGTCAGACCTTTAATGTTGGAGAAGAATAATTAACATGCACATTGATAAAACGTTCGTTGTTGTTCGCAAGGAAACAAAACAGCTTTCTTATTCATGAATAGTAAAGATACTGGGATTCTTAGTTAGGATACTGTAGAACTAGTTTTATTCGCGCTTAAAGGGACTCCACTGAGGTTTAAAAGCCTAAAATTGTAATATTTGAATTTCTTACTACATAAATGAGCTGAGGCACTTTAAAAATAATATATATGCAAAGATATTTAAGACATATTCTTTGAAATAAATTGGAAGTCGTACTTGAATGCCTTTCTTAGCCCAATTCGAGTGAAAAGCGTTTAAACGCTGTTCATTTTGGGTCATGTTATATAACTTGAATAATTATTCTGGAAAAACGAAGTACGCGAATGATCTGAAATTCTGCACAAAGATTGGTGGTCTAAACCTCCATCAAATGGTTTATTTATCTGGAAAAAATAATTTTCAGTCCCATCATGTAAAAAAAAACATCAGTGAAGTCCCTTTAAGTCTAATTTTCGAACAGCAAGGTTTCGACAGCGCAACTTAAATATGGTTCTACAGTAACTTATTTGCTGTCATTACGGTTCCATATTAACATTTTACTGTGCTTGGTTCATGCAGAGTATAGGTTTTGAATAGTTAAAATTTATAAATTTCTTTTAGAATACTTTTTGATGATTCATGTTGTGTAATTTAGCATTGCATAAGCAAGATTGCGACTGTCAGCATATAGACTAAAAATAGAAACAGGTCTATATGGCAAAAAAAACATGTACTGAGAAATGAAGACAATGTTGTGTATGTAAAACTATAGAAGATGAGTTTCATTCTTTTCTTTACTTTTTTAGAAGGGGCTCCACACAGGCCACATAAAACATCTTACATAGCTCAATAGGTGCATATAAAACGGAAACATGCAAAAAGGTAATAATAAATATACTTAGAATTAAATAGAAAATTTATGTTTGACAAATGACTATCATAATTTGAGTTAAAACGTCTAAACATTTTTTTTTTTGGTCAGTTTAAAATGATTATTCTGGAAATATTCTGAGCGGATGATCTGATATTTTGCACTCAAGTTGTGAACAGATGTACACCAAATGTCTCGAACAAATATTTCAAGTCCTTCGAGGCAAAAAGCCTCAGTTGAGACCTTATTACAGACGATTATGTTGTTGGGAGTTCCAATAATAAAGTAGACTTCACAAAAAAGTGTTATAACACAAACCTGTGTATACTCAAGATGTAAATTTATTCACCTAAAAATACTGGATAAACACGTGTTAATGAGCATGCGCAATATGTATTTGTTTATAATATAGCTGATATTAATACACAGTCTAAAATGCATTTACAAAATATGTTCAAAATATCCTGAAATATAAGATATTTGTCCAAGAATGTCAAAGAAAAAAGCTTACACTTGAATAATAAGCAAATTTTGTGTTAATACGAGGGGCCATCAAATATAGTGCGGACAAAAGTAATATTTCTTGTTATTTTAGATAACCTAGAGAAAACAATAATTATTCGCAATAAATATCTAATATGCGTACAATATATGTATAAAAATTTCGCAGAACACAAAGCAAATGTTACAATGTCATTATTGAACATATTTTTTTCACTTTGCGTTTTATACCACATAATTTTTTATCATAAAAATTTATGCGTTTCAAATGTAAATAAAATATAGAACAAAAAATGATTTTATATAATATACATGCTTAATTTTACGGCATAAATATTAATGTTTTACAACATAAATATTTATATGGTAAAATATTTATGTTGTAAAACATTAATATTTATATGATAAGCACTTAGAATATAAATATAATATTTATATATTATATAAAAAAATTTTTTTTCGAAATTTTGCAACGTTCCGCACGCCATACACATCAAAATATTCAAAATTCCGCACGCCATACACATCAAAATATTCAAAATTCCGCACGCCATACACATCAAAATATTCAAAATTCCGCACGCCATACACATCAAAATACTTTTAGAAACTCTGCAACATTCCACACGTCATGGACATAACTTCTAAAAATAGTATAAATTATTCATTGTTTTAACAACCACATGTCTGCAATGTCTTATCAGTGACGTGTCTTATCAGTGATGTGTTTAACGAAACCGAAAATTGCTATTTTCAGCGTACACGGTATTACATTGTATTTATTATTTTCCGTTATTTTTAAAGCGACTCCTACAAGATTCCTGGACGTGAAGGACTGTTTGTTGTTGTTGTTTTTTTTGGTGTTCTTTTAATGGATGAATATTTGATGGAGGTCCGGACAGTAAATTTTTTAGATCTTTTGCTCATTTTTGACAGATAGGATGTACATATTGAATGTTGTATAAAATAAAATTACCAATTCATAAATAGTGGCAAAATTTGTTAGTACGATTGACAGGTGTACGGCCAGTAGCCAGGTCAGAAACCCCAACCCCAGACCTCTCTTTAATTCCCCCAAAAAAATTTATATGAATAAAATCATTTAAAACATAATAGAGATAATTAAAATATCAAAATTGATAAAAAAATGCACTTAAAACAAAATACAATATATACAATTTGACATATTGTAAGTATTAAGTATGTTTTTAAGTCTAATCAGTTAGTTCTATTTTTTTAACTTTATTTGTGATATTTTCTATTTTTGCATAGTATGTAAAATTTATTCAACTTCATTATTATTAAAGCACCTGAATTTCGTGCAAAAAACGGCTAAGAGTGCTCTAGTCCAGTGTCACAGTTAAGATAATTCGTAAATTATTTAGTAAAATATAAGGCATTTTACTCAATACCGTGTGAATAAATAAAATATCTATTTCATAATACAATGTATTGCTTAAAATATCAATAAGATATCAAAAACTAAACATATATATAGTGTTTCTTATGCCGTTGAGTACATACTTCACATAGCCTAGGCAACAGTACTAATATGTCATCTGAAAGGCCCAAAGTGCTTTTGAAATGTTTTTATCGAACCTTTCTTTTTTCTGTTTACTTAAATATTTTCCAAAAAGAAACTCATTGGCCAATAATCTGAACCATTTTTTGTTCTGTTGCTTTTCGGCAATTAGTATACAATTATAGCGAATTCAAAATACTGCATTGTTGAATATTGCTACTTTTGTTCACAACTACCTTCTTCAGGTCACAATAATCTAACATGCTTTAAAACCTTTTTTTAAATTAATGTATCAAAATGTTTTCCCCTTTTAGATAAGTAAACATTTTTTCGTTTCTAAGGCATGTAAACAAGAATATATTATATACGGCACGTGTACGTTGACTGTGATACAAATAAACAGAACAGGTGAAAGATAACAATCTGTACCGGGATGTCTGTGGACATACATTTATATATGAAAATGAGTAAAGATTTACAAATATATGTGCAAATTATAAAAGCTACATATAAAATTTCTTGCCCCTCATCGATTTAGGTTCGAATCCCGTCAAGGACTTTAGATTATTTAATGAAAAGAAGCTGTAAGGCCGGTGGCTCTCAAGCGCCAGCTTGCGCTTATAAATAATGCACCAAGGGACACTAGTAAAGCTGGAGAGTCGGCATTTGACCGTTACAGTGTCGCCCGGCATGACTAAAAATCCCACAAAATAAACAGTCATTTTAAAATGATTCAAAGAAACTTTGCTACATTGACTAAAATTGTCATATTCTTCAAAATATTTTTCGTCAAACGACCAAGTTCAAAGTGTAAAAATGAAAAAAAGCAATAACTCCAAAATAAGGCAAGGCAGAGTCACGGTTCTTATTCATTGCACTTCTACTAAATGAGATCTGTTTTACCTACACAGTTCCTTGTTGAAACCTCTTGTAGTTTCAGAGATATGTAACAGACAAGAAAATGCGGTTAGATGGACGTACGCGACTATTTGCCTCCCTCCCTTCGGGGAGAATAAAAAATCATTGTTGTAAAGTGTGTTTCATTGTAAATTCAAATTGCACTATGGAACGCGAGGGACCTTTGACAATCTTTCCAAAGCAAAATTAATATAACAGTACTTTAATCAACGTAACTGACTATAAATTGCACTGTCTTGTCACTTATAAAACAAGAACTGGATTAGGGTTCCTGGCAGCACATGAATGAGGACAACCAACCCATGTTTTAGTTTAAGCATTCGTGTTCTCCAATTGAAATGCATAAATTAGAAATATGTCTAAATATAAATGTGGTCCGCCATACGATATTTAGCTGCGTTTCGGTTATGTTCTGTTTAATATATAATTTATATAAAGCCGCAACTTAAAAAAAAAAGAAAAAAAAAGAAAAAAAGCCTATATTCGCCTTCATTTATTTCAAATTAATCATATTAAACTTACTCTAGGTCACAAGGTGCATTCTAATTCATGCATATACAAGTACTTGTGGTTTATGTGAAATGACAGCTCATCTAAGATATTATAATAATTAAAACTACATGTATTTCAATACATGTATACTAATTAATGTGGCCACCTTTGTTAGTTTGTTATTTCCTTTAAAGGGTTGTCATTGATCTAGCTTGAACTTAACGGAAACATACCGAACGTATTTCCCCTAGACATATGCATTACGTCATCAGCACGTGACACTTTGGTGTAAATGACCTCATTTTTTCTTAAAAGTATATGACCCATTACCCTTACAGTTGAAACAATATCGGATTCACAATCTCTGTTAAACTGTTTTGTTTCTCCTAATAATATTTGTTCGTATCCGTGTGTCCTTTTGCAAACTTTAAGTGTAAAAAATCGTCTTCTGTCTTTTTGCACGTGATCGTGTTCCTTTTGAAGGCTAATATTGATATTTACTGACGCATAGATCACGTACGTCTGTCCTGTTTGCACCGTTATCTCGGCGTTATTATACATCCGTACTAAATCGTCAGAACTATTCCCAGTTTTGTTTTCGTGTTCCCAATGAAGAACCGCTTCATTGTCATCATCTGTAATTTAGAGAAAAAAATGTGAATTGAACATTTCTGTTGTCGTTATTTGTTTTATGGCGTAATTAACGTGTTAACTGCATAAATGTGACATACATTTGTATTCCATTAATCAATATTAGATCTAATCGGAACATCAGGCAATCAAAAAACATGCTATTTTTTTTAATTGAGTTGAATGTGGCATATATTTATATAGATCTAGATATATACTTGAATAATAACCATGAATAGTTACTACATACATACGTATGTTAATTTATGCACAAATCAATTAAAACCCCGGGGCATTGTGGTGTTTTTTTCCCATAATGTGGTCTTTTTTTCTTGGGGGGGGGGGGGGCAGGGGTTGGGGCGCCGGGATACACTTTACCGAGGGGGGTGTAGAATATTTACAGGTCCTTGCTTTTACATGGGATAGTAGCCAAGGCCACAGTTGCCTGGTGCGTAATATTTAGTAATATAATTTACTAAAATACATTACCATTTATCTTCTCAGTTTTTGATATTGTTGTTAAAGCCACTGTATTGTAACCGGATTTAGGCGCCAAACTTCTATTTCCACACGACATGTATGGTATTTGTTCTTTACCTATTTTTAAGAGAAAATTTGAAAATTAGGATTCCTTATATAGTCATAAATGTTTATAATGTTCATAGAAGTGCTTATGAAAATGTAATTGATGTACTTTTCAAAACGAAAGTAGCTTGCCATTTACAGCGACTGCATCGTCTGAACCCACGGTACACATTCCGTATATTATACTACATACGATTACCGAAGATACCGCGACTGGTACGATTATCTAAATCATGCCTAGGATATTAAATATCCTATATGAAATAATTTCAAGAAAGTCAAACCAAGAAAAATGTACTTACATTTTAAGAAAAGTAAATCGTTCAAGTAATAATTTACACATGTTGTGCGATTAATGACTGATTTTTGCAGAATTCATCACCATATTTCTATTGTTTGACTAGATAAATGCAGTAATTAAGGGCTATTTTTAAATAATTATTTTGTACTCGTTTTAGTTATTTACGTACATTTTTAGTGTTGTTTGCAATGGGTAAATTCCTTTTCTTGTTCACTTCACAATATTTTACACGTGTTCATGTACAAAGTACATTTTCAAATTGTCTTAAAAATAAGCATGAATCTGTAGGCATGCTGCTTTAAAGCTTATTTAAATGTATGACATAAGTTTAGAAAATCCAAATATAAATATGAGTATACATTGTATAAATACCAAAAAAAAAAAAAAAAAAATACACAAGTTTACTTCATATGCAATGCATGAATGGTTCATTAACATAAATTATTCATCATCGAAAATGAAAGTAGGAAGGGAAAATGAAAGTATAGGAAAAGAAATAATTAAGTCACTTGAACATTTGTGTAATAATACAGATGAGTTTCGTGGTAATAATAATCAAAGGAAAATGTGAATTGTGTGTACTGAATGTATAATTACCTTTTGCATAATGATGTCTTAGATTTCTTTCAATAACCTGTATAAATAGAAAGTTGATACTGTTAAAACTTGTTTATAATGTGTTATCTTATGTTTCACTTACATCACATTTCAAAAAATAAAATATCATGTTTTTGCCACTTCTTTGTATAATGCCGCATTGCACATTTTGTAATAAATAAATAAATAAGTAATATAGGATTAAGATATTCATTGTATTTTAAAGAAATTAATTCTAAAATGCAATCTACTTAATTTACTTAACTTTTTAGCAAGATCCCCGAATTTTTTACTTCTGCAAATATATTTTCCTTCTGTATTCACCGACACATTAAGTCGAGTTTTACTTCCCGAGTCGAATGTTTCAAAATCCTCATCTGGACTTAATGACAGATCATCGCAAAATACTTCTAATTCTTTAATGTGAGCATTTGATATAAGTGGCAGAGTGTAACATATATCCTGATATATGACGTGACCCATAAATAAGTCAAGGCACGTGAGAACTGCACACAATGGCACGAGCACACTTATCACGACAACAAATTTAGATCCTTTATATCTGTGACATTGTCTGTAAATAATTTCGTCTGCATCTTTTCGTTTAGAATTACTTCTGCTGTTCATTTTAAATCCGTAATATTCAGCTAGGGGTCGGAGTAACATAATTATGTATGTTTTATGTGTCTGCCCTTTCTTCTTTTATGTGACTATTACAATAACTCTACATACAATGTTTTTTATGTTTTTTCCCCCTATTAAAATCGTTCTCTAAATTGTTTTCTACCGCAAAACTGAATTAAGCCATAACTATGACGGGAAGTTATTTATAATGTATCTATTTTTAGAAACACGTACGTGTTTAAAAGAACTCCCTCGCATTTTCCAATAAACGTAATGGTTTGTTTATACTACATTTGTATTTTGATTTTTTTTAATGTTCGTCCTCTAATGGGACATATGCCCTCAGCACCAATTCGATCCAACATATAGAATATCATATTTGGACAAACTAGGGTAAACTAGAAAAGATATTTGTAAGGTTTTGTGCATTTTTTCATCACTTAAATATTATTTTTCACGTCTTGTTTCATGTATCTTAAATACTCTGAATAGGTAAACCTATTAATTTATATGTCGATTTTGAATGAGCGAATTTTATTTTGTATAAAATATACATGTATAGGCTCGCAAGAAGGATACAGTGATCGGAAGTAACATGTGCTTGTACTCGCAAGACAGGGTACTATATATATACATATTGAATTGTATAGGCTCTCATGTATGTATGTTGTTAGTGTTTAATGAGGGTCCATCCGCCCGTAAGGGCACAAAAAGCAGCTTTCGCTGTCGAGTACGGACCCGGACATGTCACCAGTCATGCCCTTGAAGTATCAGGGCTGGGAATCAAAACTGCGTCGTATCCTACAAAATGTAAACAGACGCCGCCATCTTGGAACAAAAAACGTATGTTTTTGATTATAACTATTTTTGTTGGAAATGACTGAAAACCAGATATATGTATTAACATGCTACACTATTTTCCGCTTCGTTCGGTATATGTTGCTTGCACAACTATTTTGTAAAACAAAAGTTATAGCGAACTTGCAACTCGAAGCGGAGCAGAATTTTTATGAAAATGTGTGGATACGACGCAGTTCATATTGCTTTATTCATCGTTTTTTCCTTCAAATCAATTGTATACTCGTTTCAGGGTCTACCATAAACTTCAAAATATGATTTTGCATCATTTACTAAAATTTCATTAAAAGAGATGTTTATTTCTCAAGGAAATAATGATTTTTACGAAATGATACGACGCAGTTGAAAATATAATATGATGTTGTATTTTTGACAGTCTTTTCAACAGGCATAATTTTGGCAATATATGTCTATTTGATGGAATAATCACTTGCGCTAGATAAAAAACCCAGGTTATTTTTGGTGTACAGCGATGTTCTGTTGCTTTTGATTATTCAGAATACATTGTGTCATGTCCAATATAACATTTAATTTGAAAGTTTACATTGCGGAAGCTACTTTACAGTTAAACATGAACATGTTACTTAATTTATCATATTTTTTTTTAAATAATTTCTTGTATTTTCCTGTATGTTCAATATTATCCCTATTTTTTGGCAAAAAATATAGAAGTCTTTGAACCTGAAATTATTTTGGTTAGCTACGATCTAAGTAAACTGTGGTTCAGCATGTTCTGGGTAATGACTGTGTTTTAGCTCACCTGTCACAAAGTGACAGGATGAGCTTTTGTGATCGCTTTTCGTCCGGCGTCCGTCCGTCGTCCGTCCGTCCGTAAACTTTTACTTTAAATGACATCTCCTCATAAACCGCTAAGCCAATTTCATCCAAACTTCACAGGAATGTTCCTTTGGTGGTCACCTTTAAAAATTGTTCAAAGAATTTAATTCCATGCAGAACTCTGGTTGCCATGGCAAACGAAAGAAAAAACTTTAAATATCTTCTTTAAAAAAAAACCCTAAGAGCTAGAGCTCAGATATTTGGCATGAAACATCTTCTTATAGGTGTCTACCAAGTTTGTTCAAATAAAAGTCCTTGGGTTAAAATTGGCCCTGCAGGGGGGGGGGGCAGAAGGAGGGGGGGGGGTAGATCGTTTTTTTTTCATTATATGTGTGTGTAGTAAAAACTTTACATTGTGAAACATCTTCTAATGGGTGTCTTCCAAGTTTGTTCAAATAAAAGCCCTGGGGTTTAAACTGGCCCCGCTCCGGGTGCCTTTATACAGGTGAGCGACCTCAGGGCCATCATGGCCCTCTTGTTTAGGTTTTTTTTCAAACTTTCAGTCTACACATTAGCTGTACTTGGGGCGAAGACCTGAGGTGCGCCTTTGTGCATTATTTCAGGCAAATTTGAAGTCATTTTCTGAAAAATTTTGTTTGATTTTTCAAGCAATTCATTTTCAAATAAAAATCACATGTTAGTTTGAAGGTATGTTTAGATGCCATGTCTCTAGTCTGTGGAAAATTCGATGCATTAATCTGACCTAAATATAGTGAAAACTTCTTCAATACTATTGAAACATCCTGTCTACGCTCCATTCGCAGCTCACTGAATACACGTTACTTCAGACAGTGAGCGATAGTGGAACACTCGACCGATGCGCAGGAGAGTACATCCTGTCGTGCATACATCTGTATCAAATTTATCGATGCAAAGCGTAAAATACCTTTGCAAAACGGACACCTTCTTCACAAAATAAATTTGTAGTTTTATCATTTGTAACTCGATTTGAAAATTTAAAGTTTTTTAATGGAGAAGAATGATACTTTAGTGCGAAAATAGAAAATACATTTCGTAGACCTGTTCTCATCGGCGATAAAGAAATGCAATACGACAAAATCGGGGTAAATTTCTGCGGCGCTGAACATAAAATGACTGAACGGAACGCATACAGTACCCTACTTGTAAAAATATATCGTAGCTTAACGATCTATAATATGATTTTAAATTTAATGTTCAGTTTCAAATAATAAAGCTCATCTGATCTCACCGATTATTAACAAAATGAATACAATGAATCGGCACGTAAAAGACATAATAACGGAATTTACGGAAGTTGTTGCTAATTATAAGTAACAAAGGTAGGCATGCAATTTGTGCATACTTCTCTTCAGATAGCAAGAGCCCTTTACAAAATTTGTTATTCTTTATCTTAAAAAAACAACAACAAAATGGTCATTCCTGATTGATACAGGGTCCAGGAGAGGTTACCCTGGAATATTGAATTTTGTATAAAAATTCTGTAAATGAAAAAAGTAACCACCCCAATTTCGAACTCACGGGAACAAGTTTATAAGCATGCTAAGGCAACACTAGAACACGTTGTCATATGGGTGTGCGATCACGTGTTTCAATGTATATTGCATTTGACACAGCTTTTCGGAATTTGTAGATGCTTATGACAGGAACTAAAAATGCGACCGAAAAGTGAAGCCTAAATAGAATTTTTATTACATTTTCCATTTTTTGTGGAACCAATGAGTGACCTCTGCTTTTGACTTAAGTTGTAAACAAGAAATGTTGTTGGACGTTTTTAGCATACCTAGCACATAATTTAATAGCTGAACCAATTTGCAGCCTGCAATGAAAATACAACTGCGTCGTATCATATTATATTTTCAACTGCGTCGTATCATTTCGTAAAAATCATTATTTCCTTGAGAAATAAACATCTCTTTTTAATGAAATTTTAGTAAATGATGCAAAATCATATTTTGATGTTTATGGTGGACTCTGAAACGAGTATACAATTGATTTGAAGGAAAAAACGATGAATAAAGCAATATGAACTGCGTCGTATCCACACATTTTCATAAAAATTCTGCTCCGCTTCGAGTTGCAAGTTCGCTATAACTTTTGTTTTACAAAATAGTTGTGCAAGCAACATATACCAAACAAAGCGGAAAAAAGTGTAGCGTGTTAATACATATATCTGGTTTTCAGTCATTTCCAACAAAAAGAGTTATTAACAAAAACATACGTTTTTCGTTCCAAGATGGCGGCGTTTGTTTACATTTTGTAGGATACGACGCAGTTTTGATTCCCAGCCCTGAGTATGTTATAATTCTAAAGTGGTGACCTATTTGATTGAAATTCAGTAATTCACTGAATGAGCCCAAATAAAATGCAAATGTTTTTAGATTTATTAATGAAATAATACACGGGAGGCCAATGAGACCATTGTGTACATTATGTTGTTTAGTTAAAGAACGTGTTGCTGCCTAAAATAAAGGATCAAGAAGCGGGCGGGTAAGGTTTTCCTGACATATAGACGCACGGACAAGCAATGGTGCTTCAGACCGGTGTTTTTGGTTCGGTGCCTCAGACAAGCAAAACGGACAGACAAGTTCACTCCTTCCAGTTTTCAGCTCCGCCATGGACCATGGACTGCTTCCTTCATCTGGTGGGTCTAGAAGAATTCCTCCACGTCTTCGGTCTTCGAAGATGTCTTCTTTGACCTCCCCCCTAAATGCCTACTTTGAGAGTGCGACATTTTTGGGGCTTGGTCGTGGTCTTCTTCATCTCGTCATGTAGTTCTTCCAGATGTCTCAGATATATCGAGATAACCGCCTCATATGTTGCCATCACTCGCATATCGATCCAGCTGCCGCTAAGCCACAGACAATTTAGCAATTTAGAAAAATAAGAAATGATTTCCGAAAGGTATATTCTGCCTATATCGGTCCAATTTTGAATTTTGTTTTGTTAAAATATGGAAAGCCACAGACGCATTTTATTGTTTTAATTAAATTTACTAAGAAATTCTTCTTCAGTCAGTGAAATGTTGTTGCCAAGGCCGTCACAAAGCACTAGCAGCTTAACGGTGCCACAGACATCGGTTGCCACGGTCAATTTTGAATTTTGATAAGATGCCTAAATGATACGGTAGCCTTTTTCAGTCCAATTTTGATATTTAATAAATGTCATATAAAATTTGTGTACTTGATCTTCTGTTTATCAACGACCCACTCTTAGAGCAAATTTTTATTGGCGATTTGGCTTTATTTCCAAATATAAATATATGTTCATATATATATATATATATTCATTCTTGGGCGGGAATGGTCTTATAAAACAATAAATGTGTTTGCCATAAGAAAATTAATAATAGTGACTGAGTCAGCCAACTGCGGTAAAAGAAGCTATAAATAGCTCGCCGCTATGGTAATAAAAGTGATGACGTCACAATAAAGCTATAACCCAGCCAGCATGACCATA